AGTGTAGATTGCGGCAGCGGGGTCAATCCTTCTTAGGTGCTTGCGAGAAGCTAGGGTTGGGGTTGTGATTGCTCTGGGGCAATTGATGCTGGATTCGCTCAATGGGAGACCACAGTGGCAATTATGGTGGGGCTACAGCAGATGCAAGAATTGAATTGGTAATGCGATGGGGGCATGGCTGGATATAGGGGCTCCATGCTCGGTTTAGGCGGTTGCTGTAATAAGGTTGTGTGATGGTGACAACATCAAGATCTGATGGGTTTGGCGTGCCTCGATTGCTCGGGACACTGGCATTCGCCACCGCCATTGGCGCCGGGAGGATGTGAAGTGGCAGGCGTACACGGAGGTTGTGGGCGGACTTAGCTGTTTCTAGCCATGCCATGGATATCCTTCAGGAACCGGCCTTTTTTGGCAGACATAAGTTGAGTGGATCCTTTGCTAACTGGGCCCCTTTCCAAGCTCCATCCTTTTATAGCGGGCTTTTTCTCCGGTCATGGGATGTTTCCGTAAGGGGGGAGGCGGTGATGGCCTAGCTTCGGGGGATACTACGCTTGGAGTGTCAGCAAGCGCCGTGGCATCGATGCGCAAGGAGATGATGAGCTACTTGGCAGCGCCATGCAAAGGTGCACTAGGAGGCATCATCCAGCAAGTGGGATAGACGGGCTAGCTCCACACAAAAATATTTTTTATAAAAAAAATTATACAACAAAAATAGTTAAAACTTAGATTCAAACTTCCATGTTGTGTAAGGAGGCCACGTAAAATTTTTTATATTTTGTTGAAAATTCTAATGAGATAAATTAATTGTTAATCTTGTATGTATCTAATGGTATTTTGGGTATATCTTTTAAAAATATCCAGCCCAACAATATATTGTAGAACAATTGATAAAGTCATCGGTATATTGTAGTTTATAGAAAGTGATAATGTTAGTGGTAAATTATTAAACTATGACAAACTTAATGATATAGAGTAGATTATCTAGTATAACTACAATCATATAGTCGTTGTTTTGTCTTGCCTCACGAAGCATACATAGCTCTGCTCGACCATCCAGTGGCATATGCACATTTAATAAGCTGCAAAATTACCTAAGCGCATGGACACATGGAGTCGCTCAGCAGCGTGGCGACGATCGTGAAGATCGCCAAGGAAGTCGCCGTCACGGCGACATCGGCGACATGGACGCGGAAAAATTCACTGCAGATAGTGGCGGCGACGGCGAGAGGAAGGACACTACTGACAAGACCGCTGCCGCCGGCAATGTTTTTTTTTTTTTTTTTTTTTTGATTGAAGGCCATAGGCCCTGCTTTTACTGAAAGCAATAGAGTCTGATACATAAAACGTCAACCGCTGGGGATGCCAGCTTTACAAAGCAAGGAGCAAGGGCTACTACTGAAAGGATCATTACAGAGACCAGAAACATGCTCAAAACAGATTGCTAAAAAAAACATTATCAAATTTACCAACTCTATCAACCTCATTATCAACCCAATGTCATGGCTATCGGTGTTCCAGTGACAGTGAGCACGGTGACATTCCAGTGACAGTGAGCATGGTGACTGCAGGCGTGAATAACGAGTTGGTGCCACGACCATCGTACGGCTACGGCTACTGGCGGCCATACGCGGAGGTTGGGCTCGGCACCGGTGATAGCAACCGGGAAAGTTCCTGCGGTGCTCCATCCGCCGCCGCCGCTGCCTACACATACCCGGCGTTCCACCACATGTTCAGCGACGAGAACCCCCAACGCCTGCTGCATCCTTTGATATTGGAGAGTTGGGAAATGTTGTAACGTGGATTGGAATAACGGGTATCACATATTTTTTATGAAAAAATAGTCCATATGAATTTACATTGTAAGTCTCTAAAATTATATATGTAAATTTAGTGATTTACACTATAAGTCCCAAAATTATACATGCAAGTCTCAAAATTATATATGTAAGTTGATGTAACTTCCAAAATTACAAATTTGTGACAACACAGATATACTCCATCTACTTTTGATAGGCATATTTCCAAATCTAAAAAAAATTATTTTTCATAAGCATATTTCAATCCAACAACCTATTCTCTTAATGACTTTCTCGGATTTAATGCTTGACTCTTCATTCTTCCACACAAGATTGGCTACATGGGCATCGATAAATATAAATATTAATGAATCGCTTATTTACGAGGTATAACTAGTAGCATGTTTAAATAGATGATAATAGAATTACTTATCCTTGATCTGTGTGACAAGATGAAATACGACTATCAAGTAGATGAAGGGAGTAGCATTTTCGAAGATTAATTAGTAATCCTAATCAGCGAATAACATAAAAAGTAAAGAAGAAATCTGTACTTACTTAGGTGATGGTGAAAACAACGTAGACACTTGATCCAACATAGACACACATAGACACGTGATATAACATAGACACACTATTAACCGTGGATCAGAATTGCGAGACTCCTCCGGATCCCATCGCGATCCGCACTCAGGGACAAAAAAAGGGGACACGCGCATCCCCTCGTTCCCTACAACTACCATGCCTCCTCTCTCTCTCTCTCGATGTCTCTGCCACTCCCCGCATCAACCGCAGCGCACCTTCTGCATGCTCTCCTCCCCATCGCCGTTGCGGTGCCTCGCCGACAGACATCACCCCCACTCATCCATCCATGGTGTCATCGTCGTGCGATCTTGGAGCGGCCGTGACCTCACGCACACGTCTCTCTCCATAGATTAGGGTTGAGGGTTCCCGGGTGGGCGGCTGGCTGAAGCAGCAAACCAGCAACGAGGTACTGCGGCAAGCCGGCGATAACGAGCAAGCGGAGGCGAGCGCAGGCTTGCAGCAGCAGCCGGGCGCGGGCGTCGAGCAGGCGCTGAGGTAGAGGCAGGTGGCGGGGACCCAGCGAGCAGCAGGAGGAGGCAGAGCAGGTGAGGGCATGAGGCATCGGGTGACTGGGCAACGAGACCGCCCGCGCTGACAGCCGAGCAGCTAGCAGATCAGGCGGCGAACAACAGCAGCTAGCAGAACATGGTGAATCAGTAGTTAATTAGTCACTGAATGGCTGAATTAGTCATGGTCTTGCACTCTTGTCATATTGCTATTTTCTCTATAATGCTATGCTTACTCACTGTTTATATGTAATTTATTGAAGTTAAACAAGAATATCAATATGAGATGATAGGGATTTACAAGAATTGAGCCTCATGCTCCATAGTTTTGATTTATCAATTTGCAATGGAGAAGAAAACAACATTGTTAGATTATTGTAAAGCAATTCAAGTGGCAACATTTGATCAATGACAGCGCAAATTATTCTGATTAAGTTTGTGTATATTATTGATCATGAGAAGTACGTGAAAATTTTCAATTCCCGGGAAGCATAGGCCCAGGAGGAATCAAGTGGGAGTTCAGGGACATGCAACTGAGAATCTGCTGAGGTTTTCTCTGACATGATACGGTAAGATTGCCTTTCTTTGATGTTCTGATGAAAATGGAGAAGTTTTGTGCCACACATAGATCTGTTCTTGTGTTAGTTGGTACTCTCTTCAGCCAGTAAACTAGCAGAGACAACACTCCTCATTTTTTAAGGCCTCTAGTATTGTTGTGTTTATTTTTGTACACTTCTATGAATCTTTCTATGACTTGCAGTCAAGAAGATATGTAAAGTCTTCTTTTTCGAACGGTCAGACCGTTGCCGACGTTTTATATTAAGAAGAAGATATCCCATTTTGAGGAGAAAACGGGATTAAACCTTACAGTGCTCAGTTAATTAGGGAAAACTGAGCGAAAACCACAACTACAACACCACACCAACAGCTAACCTATCCTAAGCTACCACGACGGAGCCCGACACAAGGCATCGGCCAAGCTTGCCATTTGAGACGACACGGCAGTCTACGTATGTTATCGTTGCCAAGCTTGACACCCAAGTGACACAGCAGCTTCGACTTTAATGCGATGCTACCCCAACGCCAAAATGAACAAACAAGAACGACACCCACGAAGGACATCAACCCAAGCTACCAAGGAACCACTCCTACACACAGCTAGCATCAACAATCCTATAAAGAGATTGCAGTGTGTCATCGTTGCCAAGCTTCGTCGCCCCAGCAAAGCAACTCCGACTCTACCCCACAGTAACCAGATAAGAGTGATGAACACGCGCTGTAGCAAGGAACGAAGCCAAGGAAGTGAGGCCTCGTCAAACACCCTAGACCTGAAGAGCTTCGGGGACATTGCAGGAGTCCACCAAGGCTACCATTGCGCGCAGAGGGTTCTTGGTGTTATGAGGGGTTAACGCCAGGACGAGACCTCTAAGGAGGGGAACGGCGCCAAATGGCGTCGCCGTCGTCATGTCGGCCCATGGCCTGGCAAGGCTTTCGCCAGCGGTTTCCCATCAAAACCCCACACAACCATCCTGCACAAGATATGTAAAGTCTTCAATATATCTATCTGATTAGCACCTCAAGTTCAGACATTTCAGAATATCTACTAACTTTTACCTTTACCTCTTGGTAAATTTCAGAATGTTGTAATTCAGTTGGAATTTAGTTGAATTTCTAATGAAATACGCATGTTGCCCGATTCCATTTTTTCTTTTCTTGGTTATTACTGCTGTAGATGGTACCACTATTTGAACTGAGTGCAAGAAATGAGGTTGGTCCAGGGAATCGTGCAACGCATTGCATTGCCATCCGACGGTTGAAACATCTGACTGAAATCAATCAAAATTTGTGACGGCCCATCTACCTAATAGTTTTAACAGTGGTTTTACTCATTGATCGTGCGACATATATTCAACGATCGAAAACGATCTAATGAGTGGCATCCGACGGCTCCCCACCTCCTCATCCCAATCGCTCCCCCACGCCACTCCGGGTTGCGCCTCCACATATCACGCCTCTACGCCCGCCTGCGCCATCCAATTGCGCACCCTCCATCACGCCCCCTCCTCTCCCAGCCGAGGAATCGCCGCGATCTCGTTTCCCCGCCCTCTGTCATGCAACCCTCCCCCCTCTCCCCCATCCACCCGCTGCACCTCCGCCTATCTCACCGATCAGCGCAACCAACGACGACGATCTCCTCCGTGCCACCCCTCCGCTCATCGCACCGATTTGCGCCGCCGCCGCCAACGATCTCCTCCATGCCACCACCTATCCAAGCCGTCGGAACACCGGCCCACACCTTCGCCGCCACCTATCTCCACCTGGCCGCCTGCCTCTGCGTCGCCAGTTCATCGTCGGCCAAAGTCGCCGGGCTCGTCGTCGCCAAGCCGGTCAAGCCCGCTGCCTCCTCTACCAACGTGCTGCTACGCATCAAGCGCCACCGCGGCCAATCTAAATCCCATCCGCCACCAATAGGAGGTACAGAAACCCTCCTCCCCACCCCTCCCCAGAACCCTCCAGTGCCATGTCACGAACAGATGTGATGCAATGCATGACATGATCTGCATTTTTTATCACCGAAATTGATGTTAGATTATTTCAGTTTCACTCTGTATGTTACTCTGATTATTTTCTGAATAAGCTGATAAGTATACTGTGCCACCTATGAGAAAATAAATTATTGTCTGTATGTGCGATAAAAAAATAGTTATTATCTGCACGTGTGAGAAAAAGATAGCAGGCCTGATCTTAAGTCAAGCTAGGAAAATTGCTAACTGTCTCACCATTAGTGCAGAGTGTTTGAGCTGCAACTAATTCTTGAAGTACGGTGATTCTCAGACCATGGAGCTAAACTAATAAAGAACCGAACTCTAATTGTGAGTACCTGTTTAATTTTTGTCTGTAGATACAAATTTGTTCGGAAGTGACTGAAAGAGACATAAAATTCAAAATAAAAATGAATCTGTTCTTGTTGATATATTTTCCTCTATTGTACTATAGCATCCATTAGTGACCTAGAGGTCACTCAAGTCAGTTTTACGTTAAAATGAAATAGTATATAGTGTTGCTGGTTCAGCTGATGTCATCAGTATTTTATTTTCTTAAGCTCTCTTGCTGATTTGGTTTCATTTCATTTAGGTCGATACTGTGCTAAATTTGTTCCAAATCAAAATTAGATCTTCCCCATCACCACCACTCTCATCAGTCTCGTCCTGCTCTCTGCTCTCTCCAAGGTGAGTATTGGAAACCTTGTCCTATGGTTATTTCAGAAATGGAGAATTTCGCTCAGCTGATGAATTATCCCTTGATCATGGCCATTATAAATGAAATAAATACTTAATTGCACTATCTACATTATATAGCTTCTACAATTGGATTATGTTTTTCTGAATTTCCATTATGACAAAAATGGTATGCCAGTATAAGGGTATGTATAAAGGTAGAGTCTAATATGAGTTCTCTATATTAATTAATGGCACTAGAGATTATCGTCCTACAATAGTAGAGACAATAAGATTTCTAAACCATTAATGCACTAAATATTTTTTTAGTATACTTCTTTTCTTTTCTACACCCACATGCAACAAACTTTTTCTACACCCACATGCAACAAACTTTCCATTAATAAGTGTTAAGAGTCGACTCTGAGCTGTTATCATACGTAGCAACGTTGTTTCTCATTCCTTCCCTCTCTTTCTTCCACGTCACCAAATTTACTTGCATAATAACGAAGAGAGCCCGTTATTAGACACCATTGTACGTGCCCTAGCTAAATGCTTTCTGTTTCAGTAGAAGAAACAGATAATGATTAGGATGGGTGCAATGGTTATGTGTGCTTTTTGCTAAACGTCTGAGGGTTGCAACAATAGCAATTCTTGGCTCATACTTTTTCCCCACAATATACCAAACTGTTAATATAGCAGGACAGATTCATTTGTTTTGAGTTCTAATCATTGAATTGTACTTGAATAGTTTATACCACTGAAAAATTAAGCTAGAAAATTAAGGTAGGGGCATGAATGATAAGTAATTGTGAGTTGTGAATTGAGGCGGTGAAGTGGAGACCATCAGATTTATTTTGGTCCTTTATACTTTTAAGATTGTCGTGCATCTGTGATCAGTTTCCGGCGTTCTATATCATGGTTAAATATGCTATGGGTCTTTGATCTGTTAGTAATCCGACTATCCGAGACATGGCACATTGCCACACATCCTATGCTGTGTTCTATATGCCATCAATGAGCACTGTGGATATAGTATTCTGGAAACTGCTTTGTGATTTTCACTTCTATATATGTGTGATATCTATACTGTTTCGTTTAGTTCTCTCCAGTTGCATTATTTGTTGCGGGCACAAAATAAAGCATTTGATACATATATAGAATATACCACGTAGGTAAATAACTATCATAATGTTTAGCTTTTGCGATACACTTAAAGAAATTCTCATGCGCTGCTAGGAATGTTGCTTTCGTACTCATTTTATTGCTCCATCAATAGATGTTGCAAAAATTGTTGACTTAGTTTATAAAATAAGTAATTGTATTATAAAATATAATATAATATTTAAAATGATCAATGCTAGTCGGGATTGACCTTAAAAGCTGACAAATGTAGTGCTCCATTTTTCGAGGCTCACATGAAGAGATGTACTGAGACAAGCTCCTAAGTTAGCTACCTTGGGTTAGACAAATAAATTTATTGGTTCAAACAAGTTTCTAGAAGAAAACTTACGTGCCAAGAACCGAATTTGTGACAATTATTTGACACAACATGTTAATATCCTCAGTCCAGACCATGCCACAAGCATGACTTTGCTGAAGTATTAGGCAATAACAGTTTTTTTGTTATATCTCATATTTAGTTTATTCTTAAATGCTGGAATTAACGGATTAGGGTCTAATACATAGTGTTTTGCTTTATTGGTCCAGTATGATAAGGATATAGCTTCCAAAGACCCGTACTGGTATAAAAATCTAGAAAAAGTCAACCATTGGGATAATATTAAAAAACAGTACTATATAAGAATAAAGTATAGCCAGCTTATCGATTTGCATTACGCAACTTTATAGTGGATATTTGACCAGCTACTAACAAACCCCGCAAGGTCTATTTTTTATGGAACTTCAGGCTTGCACCTAATCCAGTAGAAGCTTATATGATGTATAATAGTTGTTTAAAACATGAACAAAAGAAGTCAATATTTGGTAGATTATAAAAATTTACCGAAAACTGTAAGACCAGGCAATGCTTTTCTATTGCTTCGTTAGTTTTCTGAACCGTTTGGATGTTTTAATACATGAACTTACGTATGGACATGTGGAAGCAATCACGATCTAGTGGTTTATCCTTCTTTAGTACTAAGTAAAGTTTTCTAAGACTCAATTTAATGTTGTGCGGGGATGAACATTGCACTCATATGTTTCCACCAATCAATAAAAAAATAGGCTAGTGCCTGTTCAATCTATAGGGTGGATATACCATATAGAAGTTTCCTACTCAAGTGTTTAAGAAAATTTATTTGTTGGATGTAGCGGAAAAGGCCGCCTATCAACTCCTGTAAACTCATCGTAGAAACCACAGTGAGGGAACTATATTTGTGTTAATCCATTCATCTACCCATAAAATTTCAAAGGTGAATTTTAAATTACTTTTTGCGAACGAGAGTTATGGCATGTATCTTTTATGGAAAAATGCATACCTCGTGTTCAGGAGGCTGACCTCTCTATAGAGATGATTATAAACACATTAAAGTGGACCCAAACACACAATTACACCAGCAATGTCTGAAAAAAAAGTCAGTCAGTATATGATCGACAACACAATTCAAAATTTTTTAGCAATATAAGATGCAATTATTAAAAACATACACACAAACGTCTTATTACGATGTTCTAGAAATGCAAGTCACTAAATTTTTTGAGTTGTTTGGGGTACAGAGCAAACTACGATGCTAGAATATATGACTTGGCTATAGTATCTCTAGAGAAAAAATAGCCATAATACCTTTTTATTATTCGGAAATCGAGTTCCCATGAATCAGATTGGAGATAAACACCATACGTGGTATATTTCCATCATTCGATCAAAATATTGTTAAACCTTCTTGCATATTCTCCACTGTTCTCCACTGATAGTTACTTCCATTTTATTGCATATTTAGTCGATGATAGTATGTAATCATATGCACAACTTGTGCGTGCAAGACCCGCTGTGTGTGCAAGACCCGTTGTGCATAGGTAAGTTCAGTTTATTGAATTGGTTGAACTGAAAGTAATAAATTTTTTTTGTTGTGTGATTGACTGCTTGTTTGTTTCAAAATGTTCAAGTACTTCGACAATGTCGAGTTTGATGATTCCAGGGTAAACAAAACATTTAGTGTTATTGTCGTGGTAGATGTCAAGTTTCGTTCCGAAGCTGATGGTGACAAGCAACGCTTCATATTGATGGATACTGTCGTAAGTTCCTTTTCCTTTTTCAATATGGAAAAGTATAAAAAAAATAAATACGTTTACCTGGAATCATCAAACTCAACATAGTCGAAGTACTTAAACATTTTGAAACAAACAATCAGTCAATCATACAATAGAAAAAAAAATTACTTTCAGTTCAACTAATTCAATAAATTTAACTTACCTATGCACAACGGGTTTTACCAGCACAACAAGTCTTGCACACAAGTTGTGGATATGATTACATACTACCATCGACTAAATATGCTATATGATTGGTACACTTGTAGGGCTTGGAAATGGAAGAAATTATAAGTGGAGAATATTCAACAAGACTTAACAATATTTTGATTGAACGACAAAAATATACCATACATGGTGTTTATTTCTAGCCTAATTCATGGGAACTCAATTTTTGAGCAATAAAAAGGGATTATGACTATTTTTTCACTAGATATACTATAGCTCTATCATCTAATGTATCGCTACAGTTTTCTCTATTCCCCAAACAACTCACAAAAATTAGTGACTTGCATTGTCAAAACATCGTCATAAGATGTTTATGGGCAAGTTTTTAGTAATTGCAGCTCATATTTTTGGAAAAATATTGAATTGTGTTGTTGGTAATATATTGGCTGACGTTTTTTGCAGACATTGTTGGTCTAATTGTGTATTTGGGTCCACTTCAACACGTTTATAATCGCCTCTATAGAGAGGTCACCCTCCTGAACACGAGGTATGTATTTTTCCATAAAACATGCATGCCTTAACTCATTCATTCATAAAAAGTAATTGTTTGTTCACCACTGAAATTTTATGGGTAGATGAATGAATTATCACAAATATAGTTCCCTCTAGGTTTATACAATGAGTTGTGATCTATCTTGTTTTTGCTTGTGTTCTTCAATTCAGATGTAGGGATTAGCCTTTGCAGTGAGGTCAACCGGGCAACGCATGGTTGATAACCAAAGGAGACGTGGTGCTCCAGTTGCAAGTTTTGGATCATGTTGATCCGAAGCCGAATCATGTGTGTCATGTTTCCACCAAATCAAGAGGTATCAATACCTATCGGAACATCAGGACCTAATTCCTCATCAATAGGCGGCCTTTTCGGCTGCATCCAACAAATAAATCTGCCAAAACCCTAGAGTAAGCGACTTCTATATGATGTATCCTCCATATACTTCAAACATGCACTAACCTATTTTCTTATTGATTGATAAGAACATATGGGAGAAAAGTTCATAGTCGCACACCATTAAATTGAGTCTCAGAACACTTCAGTCAGTACTAAAGAAGGATGAACCATTGGACCATGATTGCTTCAACATGTCTATACGTAAGTTCATGTATGAAAGCATCCAGACGGTTCAGAAAACCAATGAAGCAATAACAAAGCATTGCCTGAACATACAATTTTGAGTAGGTTTTTATAATCTACCCAATATTGACTTCTTTTACTCATGCTTTAAATAATTATTATACATCATGTAGACTACTACTACTGGATTTGGTGTAAGCCCAAAGTTCCATAAAAAAAGACCTTGCGGAGTCAGTTGGTAGCTGGTAAAAAATCCGCTATAAAGTTACATAATGCAAATCGGTAAGCTGGCTATAGTTTATTCTTATATAGTCGTGTTTTTTTTATTATCTTGACGGTTCACTTTTTATATATTCTTGTACTAGTGCGTGTCGTTGGAAGCTATATCACGGTTATACTGGACTAAGAAAGCAAGACACTCTATGTACTAAACCTTAATCCGTTAACTCCAACATATAAGAATAACCCAAATACGAGATATACCAAACAACTGTTAACCATTGTAGACTACTTCAGCAAAGCCATGCTTGTGGCATGTCCTGGTTCAAGCTGTACCGAGGACATCAACTTGTGGCGTAAAATAATTGTTTCAAATCCAGTTGTAGACACATAAGTTTTCTTCTAGAAACTTGTTCGAACCAATAAATTTATCTGTCTAACATAAGGTAGCTAACTATTCAAATTTCTTAGCAGACTGGAAAAATGAAGCAATACATTTGCTGGCTTTAACGTCATTCCCGACTAGCATTGATCATTTAGAATATTATATTATATTTTATAATATAGTTATTTATTTTATTAACAAATGTATTTGCAGAACGGTTACGAGCTAAGGCAACAATTTGTGCTATTTTCTTCAAAAAAAAATACAATTGATGTAGCAACAAAATGAGTAAGAAAGCAACATTTCAAGCGGCGCACGAGAATTTCTTAAGTGTGTCGCTAAACATTAGGATAGTTATTTACCTACATGGTATATATTCTATGTATGTATCAAATGCTTTATTTTGTGCCCACAATAAATAATGGAATAACTCTATTTTTCAACATATTTTTAAGCATATATTGCTCTCGTATATTGTATACTGAATTGATTATATATAATGAATTCTTGTAAGATTTCTTGTGCCCACACAATATCATATTATATTGTACCAATTCATCAAATAAGACTCGGTTCTACCAATTTAGTAATACATCAAATTAGATTTGATTTTTACCGATTTGAGGTTCTCGAGGTGTCAAACTATCAAACGGTTGTTTTTTCCGTATAATGCAGGCCGTATAATGCTCCTAATAAGGCATCAAATATAATGTTGTCTCAAATTCCCAACCTCCTATTCTGTTCAGTCTCTTAGCTTTGTTCCTTTCTCTATTTGTGTCTGCTCTGTTTGGTATTAGACCTGTTCCCCCCCCCTCTCCCTTGACTTTTGGCCAGGCCTCAGTGCACCTTTTTTTTTCTTTATAGTCTGATGCATTTCTGTTAATGGAAATGGAGGGCGCTTTGCCCTTTGACAAAAAATAAATCCCCAACCTCCCCCGTCAGCCACCACCACCATCCCCTACCGCTGCCTGCGCAGAACCCCGTCTGCCACCTTCGGCTGCATGTGCGGGAGGTGTGCATGGCCTTTATTAGAACTCCGTCCGTCACGACTTACCTTCTTCTCGGCCTCCTGGGACAACACGCTCAAGCTCTGGTCCCCCAATCGTCCCGCCTCTGTCCATACTTTCCACGACCACGAGTACTGCGTCCACACCGCCACGTGGTCGATGCACCACCAAGACGTCCAGTCCGGTGTCCAGTGACTGCACCGCGCGCGACTGGGATGTGCCCGAGACAGCGCGAACCCTGGTCATCCCAGTGCAGAAACACAAGGTGTTCTCGCTCAATAGGGACAAGTACGACCCGTCTTTCCTCGCCACCGGCTCTGTTGACAAGTTGATCTACCTCTGGGATGTCCAATTGGCTGGTTCGATGAGTGAGGAACGAGAAGTGGGTGGACGCCAGCCGCCATCGACAAGCGTTGACGCAAGGCCGACGACGTTCCCAACAGCGGCGGTGAATGACAACCGACATATCTGCAAGTCCAGCTAAATGGATTGAGACTATGTCACCGTGTTTCCGGCGTAGCATCATCAGAAAAAGAGTGAAACAAAGAGATGCGAGGGAGGTGGGCAAGTCAGCTGATTCGGCCCAGCCGAATTAGGCACGTCTCCAAGTATCCCATCAATTTTAGTGAGTTCTCTCACATGGTTTTCTCCAATTTTCATCAAATAAAACATATATGCATATAGATCAAAGAGCAGGAAATTAATCTACCACCAGATCAAGAGCAGTATCAAATCTACCGCTAGCAAAGCATCCATAATATGATGAATTACAAGAAAATATAATCAATCTATAAAAATATATAGATTGAATACCTTAATATATACATGTCCGGATGTATCTATGAATTATTAGTAAATTGGTTCAAAAACCACTCTTACTAATTACCGTGAGTAGTATCCTGGATGAAGATAAGGCACGCCTGCATTGCATGCGTGTGTACGTCGGCCAGTCAACCCCAAGTCCAAGCGCGTGGCTCTGTTCTTGGTCGCATATAGCTGTAAGCGATCAAATAACAATCAAATTTAATCAATCTGTTAGCAAGCATGAGGAATTAAGGCTAAATCCCTCATACATCGATGCATGGGGTGATTGATTGGCCTGATGCCTTGGCAGCGACTACTTCCCCTCGCGCGGTTGACAGGACGGAGACCAAGTACAAGTCGAGGCCGGCAGCAACTCTTGACGACTCGTCCTCGACTCCTGGTACTCAGCACGCATGCACACTTGCATGCGCGTAGCCGCTCGGATCGGATCTCCAAGAAGTTTTGTTCGGGACGCGAGGGGACGCCGGCCTGATCTCGCAAAACAAAGTAGGACAAACAATAGTTCAATCTGTAGTTAAGGAATTAATCTAAAAATACAACATAAGAAGCTTAGAAGTCAGTCAAGTCACACCCTACCCCTTATATATAGGAGTCCTAGAAGAAGATAGATCTTATCTCTACTCCGATTCACATTGACCCATAAGAAGCTTATCTTCTAGAGATTTGTTTCACATCGTATACATCCCAACCGAGACAGCCACACAGTGATTAATCTAAGCCAAAAGACAGTACAGGTTGGAGACAGCATACAAATAATTTTGACCATCGTATACATACAAAACATCTCAATTCTAATACGCCAATGATCTAGACACAATACATATGCATAAAATTCGCATGATATGGATAACAATATATTACAAATACTCATCAGAAAGATAAGAGAGAATGAGATAGCAGGCTTGAATAATCTTGAAGATAACGGAGATACCTGATGGCCTGGTTGCTCTGCCTGGTCGAGTGCGTACAGTCGCTGTCCATCTCCATTCGTGTATATACAGAGAGATACATTTCAGAGAATGAAAGTCTGGCTTTTGGAAAGCGAGATTAGGGGAAAGCGTGATATTTGGAAAGTGAGATTAGAGGATTTCGAGCGTGATTAGGAGATTTGGACCGCGATTAGGTGATTTGGAGCGCCTGGTTTTTTGTACTTTGCCGCCGGACCCCCGTCCGTGGGCATTTTTTATCATTGGGAAAAGTACACCGAAGGTCCCTTGTCATCGAGTTACAAAATCGTCCCCCAACCACAAAATATCGGAGGTCCCTCAACTAACAAAACCGTTCGCTTGAGCTCAGCGTGGGCCCCACGTGTCAGGCTGCCACATCATCTCCCTCCCCCCTCTCTCTCACTCTTCTCTCTCTGCCACATCTCTATCTCACTCTTCTCTCCTCTCACTCGCTGCAGGGCGGGCGCGGCCGCCAGGGGGCACCGGCGAGGTGGGCGGTGGCGGCGATGGGGGTGGGGATGAGAACGGCGGGGGAAGGGGAGGGGAGCGAGTCAAGGGCGGTGGGGGAGACCTCGTCGGCAGCGAGGCGGCGGAGGGGCAACGACGAGGAGAGGAGGGCGTCGGCGGCCCCCACACCCGCAACCACCCAGCACGCGCCGCCAATGCCCGGCGGTCCCTCGCGCGCCTCGACCCGCCACGGCAGAGGGGCGACGGCGAGGAGAGGAGGGCCGGCGCCGCGGGCGCGTCTGGCGGCCAGCAGGGGAGGAGGGCCGGCGTGGCGGGCGCGGTCGGCGGCCGACAGGAGGGAGCGCGGCGGAGAGGATTGCCGGCGCGACGGGCGGCGGTCGGCGGCCGACGAGGGAGGAGCACAGCTGAGAGGACGCCTCTCTACTCCGCCTGTGCCCGGAGCCGCCGCCGAAGATGAGGGCGAGTGGCACGGAGTCGTCGGCGCCGCCGTTCCCTATCCGCCGCCGCCTCTTGGCCACCGCGCTCGCCCACCGACGCCGCTTCTCCTCAGCCACACTCGCCCACCGAAGCCGCCGCTCCGCCATTGCGCTCGCCCGCCGACGCTGCCGCTCCGCTTGCTCTGGCCGCCTTCGGGGACGAGGCCGGCAGATTCAGATCGAACGGCAGCAGCGAGCAACGGGGGGCGGGGGCCTCGTCGCCGGCGCCCGAGGCACTGTCCTCGTAGAGCACGGAGGAACGGGAGCTGCGACTGGGGGAGCGAGGAGACCGCCGTCGTCATCCACGGCAGCGGGCACGCCAGCGGGTGGAGAGGCGACGGAGGCCGGCGGAGTGGGAGGGCGGGCGCAGGAGGACGAGGCGGAGGCGGACGGCACCGATAGGGAGCGCGACGGGAGAGCGAGGCCGCCGCCGCCATGGCTGTACATCTGTCGCCCGCGCCGTCGGCGGCTGCGGTGGCGGCGTGGGGGCGGCCCTTCTACTCCCACGTCGTCGCTGCCGCTGTGTCGCCCGTCGCCCATCACCGGCCGTCCGACCTCCTCCTCTCCCGCCTCGCCCCGCCGGCTGGCTTGCCGGGACAGCTCGAGAACGGCGAGGGCGGCGTGGAGATGGGGCAGGGGTCGTTGGCTGCAACCCCGGCACGGCGGCCTGTTCACGCGTCGCAGCTGCCGTCGCCCTCAGCCCCGTCACGCCGCTCGTGGCCGACCCCTTCAAGCGGTCACCGGCGTCGGCGTCAA